GGAAGGAAGGTTGGGCATTCCTACTTCCGTAGTGATACTGCCTCGGAAACCCAAGGAGGGGTCGCTATGAGTCGGGCCGACTCAATGGCAAATAACAACAACAACAACATGAAGAAGATGTAGAAATGTTTGTGTCTGTGGGGTATGTGGAATGTGGCTGAAAGTTTGGGGCTAACACAATTGAGAGTGCAGAGTCCAAGGTTGGGGGCCAGTGGAGGTCATAGCTAAATCACAAAGAACCAGAGCTATCAATGAGGGCCAAGGAAAAGCCAAGCTGTTAGTGTGGGGGAGAACACTGATATTAATGCTGGAGAACAGCCCACACTCAGACACTTCACCTGAAAAAGACTGAAAGGAAAGAGGCTCACAACCAAGAGCAAGTGGATGAGACACATCAGTAAATTACCATAAGGAAGAGACACTTCTTTCGTTTCATAGTTTTCCCTTACATTTTCAAAGGGCAAAGCCCTAACAATTGGGAGAAGCAAATAAATTGAATTCAGTTAGAAAGAAATAAATAAAATTCAAGCTGTTAAGAGAATGAACTTGGTTTTTAGATGTCCTTGCACCATATCTTGATTAGAAACGTTCTTTAATGTTGTTGTTTCTTTAGTGAGAGGAGTTATGCTTCCCCAAACTGAAGACCCAGTTTGGAACACCCAAAAGTCTAGTCTTCAGGCAACCACGCCATCTATTCTGGTAAGTGTGTTTCTTTGTTTTATGACTAGAACCTGGCCCTCACATTTCTTTCCTTTGTACTTTCCTGCTGGCTTTGGCATCTTGAACTTCTCAAGCTGTTTCCATTTTAAATATTCTTTTGCAGCATTCCTAGAAGAGTACTTACAATTGTCAGCTTATGGGTCTCAAATGTTGGTTCAGAAAATTTAAACCTTCCACAGTGGTTAAATGAAGTCTGTATTTCCAAACTCCATACATGGTAGAAATCTTATTTATGGTTCATATTTGTTTGATGATAATTAAGCTATAAGTAACCATTGAGTTGTTCTTTAAGAGTTACCCAGAAGTAGTTTCAAATAGACAAGACTGTATATTAATTTACATAGGTACAGAATATAGACTTTTGTTTTAAGAATTATATGGAAGAATAAGTTTAGACTCCCAAGCATATCGCACAGTATATATAGAAGAGAGAGAAGGAAAAATAAAAACATAGGATAGCTGACAATGACAAGGACTCTAAAGCAGGCCTCATTTTTAATCTGGACTGAAAATATACCCATTTGAACAGAAATACCATAGAATGATGTTTTCTCTCTGTTTTTCATTCTGTTCCATTGGGTACCATCTACCCCCTCAACACCTACCCTCGTTGCATCACTTATTGCAGGGCTGCTCGTAGAGAAGAAAATACCTTCCTCAAGTGCTGTTAAAACAACAATTACAACAGCCACAACTACAACAACACTAGAGACTTTCCTGTGTAGAATAAGTACGTGAATCTTTTGTTATCACATAAACATACTAGTGGGACTCCCTTCTGCTTCTGCCTTCCCTACACCTTCTACGTTCTTGAAACTTCTTCTCAGTCTAAGCTCTTTGAAATATTTGTTTCTTGGCTCTAATCTAGCAGTGAAAATTTAAGAAGCCTGCTCAAAATTCATTTAGCCATTACTACATGTTATCATTTCTTCTACTCAGTTATAGAGCAACACAGTTTTGAAATGTGGAGTCACTGGAAAGAATATTTTCGCTGAATTTGTGTCAGGGGAAAAAAAAAGGTTAGAAGGGGATTGACATCAGAGAACACATTCATTAGTTGCTTATTTATCTGTTCAAATATATTCATTTTGTGTTTTTTATGTGCCAAATACTTGGGAAAATCAGGTAAATAAGGTGTGGTTTCAGCCAACTGAAGTTTCCTGTCTGCTGGTAGTAATCATATTTCTAAACATACAAGGTGTCGCAGATACAAGGTGTCTGCTTTCAGAGAAGTCCATCCAGGATGCAGTGACAGGGAGCAGTGGTTCTCTACAGACATGGCACCACAAATCTATATTCCTTCTAATTACATTCAACCTTGGCCTTTTTAACCATTGGAGATTTGTGATGATATTCCAGAGTCACAACATAAAGATAGGAATTTCTCTATAAGCCAGAAGTTACAAATTGGAAGCAGCAGGCTGGATCCTCCATGAAGAAAGCAAGAGGTCACTAAAAAGACAACAAAAGAAGAGAAGACCAAAATGGATGACAGAGGAGACTCTGAAACTTGCCCATGAGTGGAGAGTAGCTAAAACAAATGGAAGAAATGACAAGATAAAAGAGTTGAACCGAAGATTTAAAAGAGCAGCTCGAGAAGACAAAGCCAATTATTATAATGAAATGTGCAAAGACCTGGAGTTACAAAACCAAAAGGGAAGAACACACTTGGCATTTCTCAAGCTGAGAGAATTGAAGAAAAAATTTAAGCCTCAAGTTGTAATATTGAAAGGTTCTGAGGGCAAAACATTGAATGATGCAGGGAACATCAAAAGAAGATGGAAGGAATACACAGAGTCACTGTACCAAAAAGAACTGGTTGATCCTCATCCATTTCAGGAGTTGGCATATGATCTAGAACCAATGGTACTGAAGGAGGAAGTTGAAGCTGCAGTGAAGGAATTGGCAAAGAACAAGGCTCTGGGAATTGACGAATACCCATTGAGATATTTCAACAAACAGATGCCGCACTGGAGGCACTCACTTGGTCATGCCAAGAGATTTGGAAGACAGCTACCTGGCCAACTGACTGGAAGAGATCCATATTTGTACCCATTCCAAAGAAAGGTGATCCCATAGAATGTGGAAATTATCAAACAATATCATTAATATTGCACGCAAGTAAGATCTTACTGAAGATAATTCAAAAACGGTTGCAGCAATATATTGACAGAGAAATTCCAGAGGTGCAATCTGGATTCAGAAGAGGACGTGGAACAATCATAGCTGTTGTCAGATGGATCTTGGCTCAAGGCAAAGAACACCAGAAAGATGTTTACTTGTGCTTTATTGACTATGCAAAGGCATTTGATTGTGTGGATCATGACAAATTATGGATAACATTGAGAAGAATTGGAATTCCTGAACACTTGATTGTACTCATGAGGAACCTGTACCTTCACCAGGAGGCTGTTGTTCGAACAGAACAAGGGGACACTGCATGGTTTAAAATCAGGAAGGGAGTGCGTCAGGTTTGTATCCTTTTCCCATACTTATTCAATCTATATGCTGAGCAAATAATCAGAGAAACTGGACTATATGAAGAAAAACGTGGCATCAGGATTGGAGGAAGAATCATTAACAACCTGAGATATGCTGATGATACAACTTTGCTTGCTGGAAGTGAGGATGACTTGAGGCACTTACTGATGAAGATTAAAGAACACAGTCTGCAGTATGGATTACATCTCAATATCAAGAAGACAAAGATCCTCAGAACTGGACCAATAAGCAGCATCACGACGAATGGAGAAAAGATTGAAGTTGTCAAAGAATTCACATTGCTTGGTTCTATAATTGAGGCCAATGGAAGCAACAGTCAGGACATTAGATGACATGCAGCACTGGGCAGGTCAGCTGCAAAGGAACTCTTTCAAGTGCCGAGGAGCAAGGATGTCTCCTTGAGGACCAAGGTGCGCCTGACACAAGCCATGATATTTCCAATCGCCTCCTATGCATGAGAGAGCTGGACAATGAATAAGGAAGACTGAAGAAAAGTTGATGCTTTTGAGTTGTGGTGCTGGCAAAGAATACTGAAGGTACCATGGACTGCCAAAAGAACTAACAGATCTGTCCTGGAGGAAGTGCAGCTGAGATGCTCCTTGGAAGCGAGGATGGCCAGACTTTGTCTCACCTACTTTGGTCATGTTGTCAGAGGGGACCATTCCCTGGAGAAGGATATCATGCTTCGTAAGGTGGAGGGTTGACGAAGGAGGGGAAGACGTTCAACAAGGTGGATTGACACGGTGGCTGTGACAATGGGCTCAAGTATAGCAAGGATCGTGGAGCTGGCATGGGATCGGACGGTGTTTCGTTCTGCTGTGCATGGGGTTGCTGTGAGTTGGAAACGACTTGACGGCACTTAACAACAACGACAGGCTGGATCCAGCTACAGATATGCATGCATCTTTGGGGCAAATTTTTGAAAATGAGCCAATGTTTAATAACTGGGAAATTTTTGCATAAAAATATAGATTCCCAGCTACTATTGAAAACCAGAAAGATCTGACCTTTGATTTCACATTTTCTTATAGCAGAAAGTGGCTAGAGCTCAACCATGGCTGCTCCTTCAATGATAGGCAAGCAATGGCTAACTGCACTCACTGTTAATGGGTTGCACTTGCAGTTAAGCTAATTCTTTACTTTTTAAAATGGTGGTAACTGTAGGGCATTGGTCAAGAATTTCAGGAGACATAGAAATGGTAGTGGATGGTAATAAGACATGAGAATAATGATCCATTTGAAGTGTTTGGCTATTATTTTTTTAAAAGCAAATTGTTAATAAGATTTTACTCTATTATAGAGGTAAGTTTTTTTAGGTAGATTTTTAAAATTTTTTTTAGAGATAGAAATGTTGGGACATTGAATTTGACACCTTCCTGGTATACAGACTTGGAAAATCAATTATTACACAGTATACTTTCTATAGCACCAGCAAACATTTCAATTGCATTAGCAGAAATGAAACTGGCCAATATAATATTAAACCTGTTAATATACTATATTGAACTACGGGAGGAATTCATGAGTTGAATTCGTTACTATGGGAACATCTATTCGTATAAAAATAAATGATGAAGTGCTATTCTTGGCATTATGTGTTCATCTTTCAAAAATGTATAAGAAAGCTTCATTGCCACACCATTTTTAGAAAGGGGGTATTTATTTGGAATACATAGTCTTCCTTCTTTATTTAAAAAGTCAAGTTGTTTAGTTTCATATTTTAAGCTGTCTATTTGTGGTTTGACTTTATTATTAAAAATTAGAAATTGCTTTACTTTGAATTTTTATCAAATATATAAAAAGGAATTTAACACATAGATATATTAGAATAGCATAAGTTGTTTGAGGTGTTTTTTTGTTTGAGCCACCAACCTTCTGGTTAGCAGTCAGATGCCTTAGGCATCCTTATTCAATAGATTTCATTTGTATTTTTTTTTTTTTTTTTTCCCTTGAGGTTTAATTGCTTTTCTAGTGTGTGTCACCTCATAGGCTCTCTCTGGATAAAACCCAGTTTCTTACACATAAGCTAAATGGCTTAAGCTATATGACTGGGAATTTTTTAAAAAATGAACACTTAGAATTTGCAGGAATGTAAATATGCTTGCTTCAGCTGGAAGCATGGTTAGCTATAATGCATCTCTAGAAGTGATTTTAGATCATTGAGGAAAAAAAGTGAATTTCTGGATATCATGATTGTCATCATGGTAACTAGTTTTATTTGGAACACAGCTTGATACTGGGCAAGTGGTCTTACTGCTTTTCTGTAAATACATTTATGGTTGTAGGTACTAGAAAAAGAAGGAAGAAGGAAATAAACTTTTCTTTATATATAATGAAAATTCCACGTAGCTGACCTTTAAATATTAGCGAATGGCCTCCATTCTCCTCCTCCCCTGTGTGTTTACTCCAAGTCTTTTAGATCTGTGGACATGTGCCACCATGCATGAACACACACTGCCAAGTCTGTTGGCTCTAGC